CTATGGAAATTACCACTTTTAGGTACTTTTTTTTCATTCTCTATGGAAATTACCACTTTCTTTTTATAATGTGATTGAGTTGAATGTTGAAAAGCTAGGTTATGCTCTAAAACAAACTTTATTTCTTATTTAAACTACGTAGTTTTAAAAGAGCCCTATAGTTTACTAGATTAAATAAATTATAAGAGTTATGTTGTAAAATTGTAGAAAATGTACCTAAAAGGTTCTGGGATCAATTTAATTTAAAGTTTAATCCTAAAACACTTTTTAAAACGAATAAAAACCTAATTAAGATAACTGTTAAAAAGTATGTCTCTTTAACACCAAACACACCTTAGGAGTATCTTCAAACTAAATAGTTCTAAAATTACTTATTAATTAAGCGATAAAGCATAGTTTACTTAATCAACTAGTTTTCTTAACCAGATTTAAAGGAATGTAAAAAACCAAGTAATAAGATCAATTTATCCTGCAGTCCTAGTGGCAAAAAAATAACTGTTATAAAATAATTAATTTTTATGCTCTTACAAAATCTTAATAAAACATAAATAAAACTTGTTTCTCCTGAAAATGTTACTTGGGAAGGGCAACGAAGAGAATGATTTACTAGCCCGAGAAGGAGTCTGGAGCCTCAAAGGCTCTTATTGACCCAGAACCCTTCTGTGATGTCACAAAGACAGCTATTAGAACATGCACAAAGCAGTGGATGTTTAAAAAGATCTCAGGAATGTTGGAAAAAAATTATTTTTTCTTTGTAGTTCTTGGGTTTTTAGGTGCTAGTGAGAAGTGAAACTCGTGTATGTGTGGGTAAAGCTTTCGGCACTGATCAGTGCTTTCTTCAGTAGTTTTATTTTTTATTTGTAAATTATTATTTTTTTGGAATTAAAGCCTTTTTTTTTAAACATCAAAAACCTTTCTAAAAGAAAAAAATTGTTATTTTAATAGTTAATATTTAATTTTTTTAATTATGTTTTTGGCTTACCTTTAGAGTCTATCAGTTTCGAAGAAACCGCATGGTCGATAAACCACCAAAAACGAAAACGTTGAAAAAACCAAATTAAATATTTTGAATCCGGACTTCTATGAGGGCCCGTAAGAGAAAAAAACACCCATACACTTGAACGGACATTAAAGCTCCATATCAACGGACAAGACAAGGATAGTGAAAATAAATATATAATAATAATAATAATAATAATAATAATAATAATAATAATAATAATAATAATAATAATAATAATAATAATAATAATAATAATAATAATAATAATAATAATAATAATAATAATAATAATAATAATAATAATAATAATAATAATAATAATAATAATAATAATAATAATAATAATAATAATAATAATAATAATAATAATAATAATAATAATAATAATAATAATAATAATAATAATAATAATAATAATAATAATAATAATAATAATAATAATAATAATAATAATAATAATAATAATAATAATAATAATAATAATAATAATAATAATAATAATAATAATAATAATAATAATAATAATAATAATAATAATAATAATAATAATAATAATAATAATAATAATAATAATAATAATAATAATAATAATAATAATAATAATAATAATAATAATAATAATAATAATAATAATAATAATAATAATAATAATAATAATAATAATAATAATAATAATAATAATAATAATAATAATAATAATAATAATAATAATAATAATAATAATAATAATAATAATAATAATAATAATAATAATAATAATAATAATAATAATAATAATAATAATAATAATAATAATAATAATAATAATAATAATAATAATAATAATAATAATAATAATAATAATAATAATAATAATAATAATAATAATAATAATAATAATAATAATAATAATAATAATAATAATAATAATAATAATAATAATAATAATAATAATAATAATAATAATAATAATAATAATAATAATAATAATAATAATAATAATAATAATAATAATAATAATAATAATAATAATAATAATAATAATAATAATAATAATAATAATAATAATAATAATAATAATAATAATAATAATAATAATAATAATAATAATAATAATAATAATAATAATAATAATAATAATAATAATAATAATAATAATAATAATAATAATAATAATAATAATAATAATAATAATAATAATAATAATAATAATAATAATAATAATAATAATAATAATAATAATAATAATAATAATAATAATAATAATAATAATAATAATAATAATAATAATAATAATAATAATAATAATAATAATAATAATAATAATAATAATAATAATAATAATAATAATAATAATAATAATAATAATAATAATAATAATAATAATAATAATAATAATAATAATAATAATAATAATAATAATAATAATAATAATAATAATAATAATAATAATAATAATAATAATAATAATAATAATAATAATAATAATAATAATAATAATAATAATAATAATAATAATAATAATAATAATAATAATAATAATAATAATAATAATAATAATAATAATAATAATAATAATAATAATAATAATAATAATAATAATAATAATAATAATAATAATAATAATAATAATAATAATAATAATAATAATAATAATAATAATAATAATAATAATAATAATAATAATAATAATAATAATAATAATAATAATAATAATAATAATAATAATAATAATAATAATAATAATAATAATAATAATAATAATAATAATAATAATAATAATAATAATAATAATAATAATAATAATAATAATAATAATAATAATAATAATAATAATAATAATAATAATAATAATAATAATAATAATAATAATAATAATAATAATAATAATAATAATAATAATAATAATAATAATAATAATAATAATAATAATAATAATAATAATAATAATAATAATAATAATAATAATAATAATAATAATAATAATAATAATAATAATAATAATAATAATAATAATAATAATAATAATAATAATAATAATAATAATAATAATAATAATAATAATAATAATAATAATAATAATAATAATAATAATAATAATAATAATAATAATAATAATAATAATAATAATAATAATAATAATAATAATAATAATAATAATAATAATAATAATAATAATAATAATAATAATAATAATAATAATATAATAATAATAATAATAATAATAATAATAATAATAATAATAATAATAATAATAATAATAATAATAATAATAATAATAATAATAATAATAATAATAATAATAATAATAATAATAATAATAATAATAATAATAATAATAATAATAATAATAATAATAATAATAATAATAATAATAATAATAATAATAATAATAATAATAATAATAATAATAATAATAATAATAATAATAATAATAATAATAATAATAATAATAATAATAATAATAATAATAATAATAATAATAATAATAATAATAATAATAATAATAATAATAATAATAATAATAATAATAATAATAATAATAATAATAATAATAATAATAATAATAATAATAATAATAATAATAATAATAATAATAATAATAATAATAATAATAATAATAATAATAATAATAATAATAATAATAATAATAATAATAATAATAATAATAATAATAATAATAATAATAATAATAATAATAATAATAATAATAATAATAATAATAATAATAATAATAATAATAATAATAATAATAATAATAATAATAATAATAATAATAATAATAATAATAATAATAATAATAATAATAATAATAATAATAATAATAATAATAATAATAATAATAATAATAATAATAATAATAATAATAATAATAATAATAATAATAATAATAATAATAATAATAATAATAATAATAATAATAATAATAATAATAATAATAATAATAATAATAATAATAATAATAATAATAATAATAATAATAATAATAATAATAATAATAATAATAATAATAATAATAATAATAATAATAATAATAATAATAATAATAATAATAATAATAATAATAATAATAATAATAATAATAATAATAATAATAATAATAATAATAATAATAATAATAATAATAATAATAATAATAATAATAATAATAATAATAATAATAATAATAATAATAATAATAATAATAATAATAATAATAATAATAATAATAATAATAATAATAATAATAATAATAATAATAATAATAATAATAATAATAATAATAATAATAATAATAATAATAATAATAATAATAATAATAATAATAATAATAATAATAATAATAATAATAATAATAATAATAATAATAATAATAATAATAAAAAAAGGATTTTAAACATTTTAATAATTATAACGACACACCGCAACTTTGTACTAAAGGTAAGCCAAAAACACACAATTAAAAAAATTAAATGTTAAATATAAAAAAACAATTTTTTCTTGTAGAACTGTTTTTGATGTTTAAAAACAAACAAGGCTTTAATGTTAAAAAAAAATAATAATTTACAAATAAAAAAAAAACTACTTAGGAAGGCACTGATCAGTGCCGAAAGCTTTACCCACGCATACACGAGTTTCATTTCAACACTAGCAACTAAAACCCCAAGAACTACAAAAAAAAATTACTTCCAATCGCCAACTGCATCAATTAATCCTGCTCCTGCTCATCCTCATTTTCTAACAATACAGCCTATAAAAACATATTTGCACCCGTTGCCATTTTGACAGCCACTGGTTTTCCAAACCAATAAAAACCACACTTGTATGCTATTAGGTCCGGAATTTCGTCTTTTGGATTGGCATGCGTTTTTTCGTTATATTTAGCCGGACATTTCCGTAACGAAATTTAATAAAAACCAACATTTACAATAATTTCACGAACTTTCACCTATTAAAAAAGACGCATTGTTTCAGATGTACCTATATTTTTTAATTAAAAAGGGTTCTAACAATCGGACTTATCCTATATAATACTCACCCTATGGTACTTCTAATTATTAAGGACATGCTAGCGATACCCAGTCCGCTGCCTGATACGATGAAAATCTCGACAAATTCTCGGCGTCTCTTGAAATATTGCGCCACCATTAAAGTTGAGCAGTCTCTGGTTATCCCTACGCCGATCCCGACGACCGTCCCATAGCTGCAACGATAAATTTCGGATAATTTCGGGGAAAGAGCAAGGTCAAGGGCCCAAGTTCACGTTTATACGCATCCGAGTTCCTGAATGCGGACGATTTTTTTCAATAATTTTTGGAATAAAAACACAGAAATGTATAGTCCCTCATCTGACTACAAAAGTGCTACGTCGTTTTTTTTTATCGCTATTTGTAATTGGAAACAGGAGAAGGGAGTTAAAAACATACTGTATCCCTGTGGTTTGAGGTGTCGTGTGATTTCAGCACAATTGGGATCTAAAATTAAGATCGCAGCGTCGTATGTACTTAACATTTACACTAAATGTTGTGGCTTGTTTTTGTTTATATTTTTGAGTTTGTGAACAAACAGCCCATAAAAAGTATTTAGTTTATATTGTGATATTTTAAGGAAAACATATTGTTGTTAATTTTTAGTGATTAGACACTTTTATTTCAATAGTTTTTAGGTTAAAGCAGAATATTATATTTTTATTTGGTAAGTAACCCCCTATTAATTTTGTTTTTGAGTTACTTTCATTCATTTATGTTAATTTAAGATATTTGTGTTATCTTTTAATAAAATATTAATATATTTATTCTATTCTCAGTAAGATGTCTGAAATAAGGCTAAGTTTAATAGAACTTATGAAGTATATTGATGCAGGTGAAAATTCCAGGATTGTTATTAAAGAGGAGGCTATTTTAAATACAGGCCACATAGTTTTTATGTGGAAAGAATGAATTTAGTGATAAACACATATCTGTTTATGCAGTTGTTCTCCAAACTAGTGCATTGAATTCAGATCCCCATATTGTTGTAGGCCAGTTTTCATACACAATATGTTCTAAATTGGTTAAAGGCAATCTTTGTTTTAAGCTGGGAACAGTGGACAGTGCAAACATATTTCAGGAGTCTTATTAAAGTGTTCTAGGTGTATACTGTTTCAAATAATAAAATAACTATCAAGCTAATTCGATTGAATACCTTATGATTTTGTTCTACACCCACATGTATATTATTTATTCTTAGGGTTGCCACATTTCCGGAAGTGAAAACTTATTTTTTATATAATCAGGTCCATTTTTGTGAATATTTCAAAAAAAAAAAACAAAAAAAAAGGTCCTTCACTTATTTTTCGTACAAACGAGGGTCTTTTATCCGGTCTATTTTTGTATAAATCCGATTCCTCTGCGGCTTTTAAAAAGCGTGGAATTTGCATAAAAAGCGTGCTGGCAAGTCAAAAAGTGTGACGTCTGGCAACCCTATTTATTCTACGCACTGATTAAAGAACGAAAAAGTAGGCCATTGGACGAATATATTTATCCATTCTATGAAGAATACTGTACACTGCATTTGGTCACCAGGATACCATACTTTTTTAAATTTTAAGTGAGTAACAATTATGTCAAACTAATTTTCAGTATATTTTTACTTTCCTATCTGTATACAAATATAAGGAAAGTATAGGAATCATGATTTTTTTCGACCTCGAGTTTTCGACGGATTTTTACGTTTTGAGGTCCCCTGAATCCATTTTGACTATTTTCGCGTGCGTGCGCGTGTGTGTGTGTGTGTGTGTGTGTGTGTGTGTGTTTGTGTGTGTGTCTTAAAAAGGGATAAAGAAAAAAACATTAAATTTTAAACTTAAGGTTTATTTCGGCCTGACGTGAAATGATTAGATTTTGGACAAAGTTGGAACATCTGGGGGGGTACTTTATGGGAGGCCGGTTTTATATTTTATGGAATATATCTGTTATTTATGTTTGGAGAAGAAAATTGTTCAGATAAAAGTTACTTCTAATATTATTAACTATAATTTATGCTTTATGTCAAAATTTTCTGAAATGGTCTGTACCTATTCGAGAAATTTGACAAAAGGTGCAAAATTCTGATTTTTATGAAAATTGTTAAACTAAAATTTGTTTGCTATATCGATCTCTATAATTTTTGTTTATTCATGATTTTTCTAAAATGGACCGTAATGAAAAAATTGTAGGAAAAGTGCTAAATTTAAATTTTTAAGTATTTTCATTTTCAATGAATATCTATAGAAAAATGTTTCGAGGTAGATGTATGAGGAAAATGTATATATTTAGTTTATCCTCTAAAAATTTATAGCGGTGCTGCAATAGGTTGTACAAAATAACCAGAAAAAGTCTATAATAACTAGATAGGAAAGTCATGTGTTGGACACATCAGATTTTTTAGTTATTGAGATTAAATATAAATTACAATGGATTATTGTGAAGAATCGATAAATAATGGCACTACACAAGATATTCTTTTATATTTTCAAATAAATCTAAAATCAGTTTTATGATTATTAAAAAAAAACATGTGTGCTTGGTACGGAAGCAGATTATTTATGGCTTCACTTTTATGTTTGCATAAACTATTTGATAATCTTGTTATTTCAATGTTCCATAATTTTATTTAACAAAATGTTTTAAAACAGATACAGAATAATTGTCCTTTTAAAATCATCTATTAACACAAGTAGGTACTATTTTTTTTGTTTGTTAGTTTTGATATAAAATTTACTTAGTCATAATTTTAATTTGTAGTTTGTATTAGTTTTTAGTCTTAATACTTTTATAATATATTATTTAATTCATGTTACTTATTATCTTACAAACAATTGTTGTATGACACTTCGCAAGTGTTCTTATTCTCACCTTTTTAACGCACTGATGTTTGTAATGTTTGGATATTGTGTGAATAAATTATTATTATATTAATAACATAAGTAATTCATGTATTCTTTAATACAATAAATGAAAATGTACAGCTTGAAATTTATGATTGATTTTGTACTTGAGAGAATACTCTTTTTAATAATTATTTTTATTATTCTTAAGTTTACTAGTCATTGTGTACAGTTACATTTTGTAATGAGTGATTGTACATTGATAATATATTTTTGTATATTTTTTATATTATTCTGTAATGGAATAGTTCGACACATGTAACGAAGACTATAATAACTTATTATTTCTAGTTTTGAGAAAATCTAAGATACGATAGTATTCGTAGTATTTTATAGCACAAAATGATTTACTATATTTGATGGTAGTATTTTTGGTTGCTTAACCTCTTCAATTAGACATACGATACTTATTTAGATCAAAGCTTTTGGCAAATATATGCGCTGGATAACGGTAACTCAAAAACTCTCAAAAATGAGTTACTGTAGTCTTCGTTGCATGGGCCGAGTTGATTCTGTTGGTAAAAAGGCTATTATTATAAGCAATAAATATAAAAATCCAATATTTTGTTATTTTTCCTGTTAACAAAATATGCTAAAGTTTACATAATAATAAACGTTCTTTATTGAGTTACAATACCAAATAGGCCATCTTCCGAAGTACTTCAGCTGATTTCACTGTATTTTCTAGTACAGTATGTTAAAGTTGTTAATGCCAGTGAATGAACACAACTCTTTGTCAGGTTTTAAAAGATCTGAAATTGTTTTAATTTTTGGGGTATGCACTTACACTAATGTCAATACACTTGAAGAAGAGTCTTTGCAACCTCTATGTCTTGTTTGGTGTGAGTAGCTAGGCTATCTTGAAACAAATCACTCTCAACTATGACTTTGTTTATTCTCACTATCACATTTAACACTGATTGAACTTTTTTTAGTTTGAACACAGAATCTTTATTCTGTGGTTTGAATCTTCTTTTTGTTCTCTTAATTTGATTTTGAAGTTTATCGAACAGAATCGTCAAATATTTACTTAAAAACTGGCATGAACGCACAGCGATTTTTTTTAATATTTATTTTTTACTTTGGATGAGGCATCTACAACATAAAAAAAGATAAAATAAAAACTTTCAAATACTTTAATGCAGGCTTCTCAATTTCCAACTTTTGTAACCATGCATTTCTTGCAGAATTTCCACTTGCATTTTATAAAAATTACCCTTCATTTACCAACTTTAGGAAGCAGACGAAATCTAAAAGAAGGGTATATTTTTTTAGGGCTGCATTGAGGCACACAACAAGTGTGTTTTTCACTTATATTCCAAATAATATAATATTTTAATATATATGATAAAAATTTAAAGCATTAGCTTATTATTAAATAAGATATTTCAAACAAAATACTTGTTAAATTTTAAAATATTGACATGACCTGATAAACAATAAACAAAACTTGACAGAACACAGACGGTTAAGTGTCAAATGCCACAACTTTTAGTTCACAGTAGAGGGCGTATCGCTTATCTTCAGATCCCAATTGTTCTGACAGGAACAATACTGATATTGCGGACAAAATGTATATTTTAGAAAGTATGAGAGGCGGGTCTGTCTTGAGTAATATGATGTCTATGGTGTAGTGTAAAGCCTTGTTGAGAGTAGGATCGGCGAGCGTCTCGATGCGATAGCGTTGCGTCGAGCGACGCGATTAATATTTCAGATATCGCATCGATAATCGCTCTTAAGGTACGTTTACATCTGACATTTATTGCATGAGATTTATGTCTGACAGTTGTTTAGTCCAGTATAGAGAAATTTTTGTGTGTTTACACTGGACTAAACAACTATCAGACATAAATCTCATGCAATAAATGTCAAATGTAAACGTACCATTACTCTGAATGTTTTCGTTCGGTAACACTAGGTTGTTTTACCGACGACGCGTCGCTCTCTCAGCGCTATCGCATCGCGACTCTCGCCGCTCCTACTCTGAACAAGGTTTAAATTCAACACCTTGTAAATTAAATGTGATCATGTAACAGGGCTTACTCATTGCATTCTTATGAAAATAAATAAGGATCCTTACAAAACAAAGTTCATTATAATTTTTCATTTTTCACATTTTTGTGTAAAAAATGTCTCATATTCACCCAATTACGGAATCTGATACAATTTTATTTCTAGATTTATCTTATCTCTTGTTCGTTGTATTGATTAATTACATTTTCAGTAAAGTTTGTCATTCTTTTTAATGTCGTTTTTTTTTCAATAAAAGAGCTACTTCATCTTCATCAGATGAAGATGAAGACAGAAGCTCATATGGCAATTACCCTATTAAAATTAGCATCCACGGATCATTTGTTATTTTTTTGTATGAGAATAAGGGCTAACAGGCGAAATTTCACTACCAGATGGCACTACTACTGAAACATAAGGTCCGTATTAAACGCCATTTTCATGACCCAGAAGAAGAGCTAAAAAATGACTGTTAAAATGACTGGAACTTTGTAAAGAAAAACTCATAAGGAGTAGATAATTTTTAAGTGATTTATTAGTGTTAATTTTGTAACATTTCATTAAATTTCAGGCACCGATCTGTAATACTCATTAATATAAATGCCATATTGATATCGTGTCGGTGCCGGAAGTCCAATATGAAATAATATGTAGATTTGGGCACAAATGGTGGGAAATTTGGAATGATCTAAATTATTTTAAAAAACACATTTTTAATGACTAAAAATACTATTAAACTTATAATAAATGTTTTCTAGATTTATGAATTTACATGGTGACAAAAAATGTTTTTAATTAATTTTTTTTTGATAATCATAATTTGAGAACTTAACCTAACTTTTATTTAAGAAAACTTTTATTAAATATATTTACAAACAAATATTTAAATTGTATTTTTCTTGTGACGTTATCCCTGTTAAATAATGTTTGCCCAATTTTGGATATATTGTATGTAAATTTGAATCTGTAATGTTCCAAAGGAAGTGTCGTTATTACTATTGCCCTATTATAAGAGAATAATTAAATCTAATTTCAGAAATAGATGAAATCAGGAGAACTGTGTTAGTAAGTTATAAATAGAAATACATAATTATTATTTATAAATACAAAAATGTATCTAATATGGATTTCAGAGCATTTTAACATTTTTTGAAGAGAATCTGCGTGGGTTACATTATTGATTACTATTCTATAGCGAAATCATCGCTAACTACACATAGTTTAAGTGTTAAAACGTTAAGGCGATAAAACTAAACGATAACGATATGATTCCATAGCCATACCTGAAGAATAATTGATGAAACTGCGTGGCGAAAGAGGTGAAAAGACATCCCAGGGCGGTAATCAGTCCTCCCATGACCGCTGTTACTCTGGTGGACTTGCGTCGGCAGAAGGCTATCGTCACGGGAGAGATAAGCAGAGCCACACCGGTTGACATCGCTCCCAGCCATCCTGAAACAAGTTACGAAATACATCAAACGCATACCGTACTTTTAGAACATTTCATATTTTATATATATTTTTTTATTTTTAATCATCACCGTCTCCAAATATTTTTAATCGCAAATTGGCGTAAATAAAGCTGCATTTTTGGTATCAATATTGATGACTATCTCCCTAGACCAAATATCAGCGACTATTTATCTAAAGAAATAGTCAATATAAGATCTAGTGAAATAGTCGTCCCAAATATAACACGACCTTGATTAATATTCTGCTATTTTTGTTGTTAAATTTCTCGAACATTTTACAATTTGATTCCACATAATTTTGGCATTAATCAATTGATTAAAACCCTCGAGCTAAAGCTCTCGGACTCTAATAATATTATTAATTCCAAAAATGATGTCTCATCAAATTGATATTAAAATATTCTCGAGATTTAGATTCAACAAAAATAGCTGACTATTATCAAGGTCTTGGTATATTACCCTTGAATATTTAGTATTCAGCTAAAATTACATCTTTTTTTGTATAATTATGTTAAAAATGTATTTTCGTTATCATTTGTAAAAAATTAAATTAGCTAGATTAGCTACAGTAATAGCCTAATGATGGGATTTAGGTAAGGAAGAGGCCCCAGTATAATATATATAATAATGTAATCAATAGAGTATGAGAAATAGTTTTAAGTTGGGAAAATACAAGTTTATTATTACCGTTCATTTACAAAACATAAAATTATAGGTGGCATTAAACAATATAAATATTTTTAAGTATAATGTTTTATTTTTGATTATGTATTTATTCAATTAATCAATCAATCAATTAATCAATTCTTGTACTTATATCCGTACCTGCTGGTCCTTTCTCAGCTATTCCAAACTTTTTAAGTATCTCCAGGTAAAAGAGTCCAGTTGACGTGAGCATACCATGGCCGAGGATATGAACGAATACTCCGCAAACTAGAACCACCCATCCCCAACCTCCTTCCGGATAGTAATGTTGTTTCAACGTCAATAATTGACGTAAATCTGCTACAAGTCTAGCAGCTCGACTAGCTGGAGCATCGTCAACACCTGAACCCTAATTGAGCGAAATACTTTTGGTATAAATAAAAATATAAAAAATTACCTATATATACTTCGGTACAATGAAGAATTCTACTAATTTTTTTATTGTACAAATTGATTCTATTAAGTTATGTGGCAACCGTTGTCCTAGTAAGTAAAAGTAAGTAATTTATTAAATTCTCAAAACGTACAATTTAAGGATAATTAATTTTGAAATTTTGTTTGTTGGACAAGCACCCAATTCCTTACATGCCTAGGCAGATTTGCCTGTATGCATGTAAGGGTTGAGGCTCCTTCAACGATATAATGTACCTAAACACGTATAATTAAAGACAATTATAAAAAAAAAAAATGTTGACCTGAATCTAACCTAACTTGACTTAGTGAAATATTGAAATAGAATCACAATTTATAGGAAAAATAAATGTCGAGAATTTTTTTTTTTAATTTGGTGTCATCGGCATCAACTGCTAAGGTTATTATCCTCGTGTTCGTTGTAGGCTTTGTTACTGTTTCCCAGCGCCACTTAAGGAACAGCACTGTTAATTAGAACCCAACAGTGAATGGTCGAGTGGGGAATCCTACCAAGGCATCAGAATTAATTTTAAATAATTTAAATAAAATAAAAAAATCCCTGACTTGTTGCATTGATTGTAATCAGTTGTAATTGAATAATGGTTTGTAACCATATTATTATGGTAGTTTTGATTTGTGACAGTTTTAAATTTAAATTATATCATAATGAAATAATTTGTTGCTATATAATAACATCCATTTCATTTAATGCTATAAAAATGTATTGGGAAAGCTTGTCATGTTATTTCACTGCTTTTGTGCTGTAACGGTAAAATATTGAGCTGTCCATGTTTCAATGAATTTTTATTAAAAAGTATTAAAGCAAATGTTGAAAATAAAAATAAAATAATAATCTATTGATACAACTTTGGGTATCGATATAAAAAACATGTATATTTTTGTTTGTGCCAGAAACTTGAATGTGGGAAAATTGTGTTTCAAGGCAAAGAAGGCAGACAAGTAGGGTGTTTTAAAAACTTGACAAAAAAAAACAAAAATTAAACAAATAAAAACTCAAAAACTATCTTATATGATTTTTATTTGTCTCATTGAAGATGACCACATTTGAAATGTTGGAGTCCCTTCTGAGTATGAAAAAAATGTTGTGTCGATCATAACCACATAATTAGGCATTTCAACGACCTGTCAAAATGCTACCCGTAGGTAATGATATGGCAACTCTGTGGGCCTCTTGTCTCTGACAGGGTGAATGAAACGTATATAGTTATATAGATTGCTTAAAGCGGATCGTTTTGCGATCGGCCATATTGCCTCGCAAGTGCTGATTAATCAGAATCGGTTTATCAAAGATAGGTTTTAAAACCAATTTTCAGCCTTTTTGAATATAGTAAAAAAAATAATGACCTACATTTTTACTTCATCGCATAAGCTTATTGTTATTGTGTTTATTTTGAAAAACATGGATGATCAATCTATATAACTATCTATATCACTGACACGGTCAATTCACCAGACCCACAGGATTGCCATATCATAACATGTCATCACAGAACTGAAATTAGGAGAATGGATTTGACAGTTTACAAAAACGTTCCTACAAGGGGAATAAAATTGAGTTTTTTGGGTTTGCGCTGTAGGTGCCAAACCGGGTCATACTTTGAAAAAGAATATATATAACAATCTTTTCAGAAAAAAAGTTAATGGCGGATTGTACAATACGCGGTTAATCGTCCCAAAAATTGTTTTTAAATTAATAAAATTAACATTTATTTTCAAATCACTTTCACGAATTTGACATGTCTGATATATACTCACTGCGCAAACTCAAACCTCAATTTTGAATCTCCTTAACGGAACGTAAATTTTGAGCAAGAATTGATCAAATCCATTCTCCTAATTTCAGTTCTGTGCATGTCATTACCAACGGACAACCATTTTGTTTGGAATATCTAATACTCACAACTGGTAACTGATACAAGTACAACGTTGACGAGCGTGTTCCGAAGTATTCTGAAATCCCAGTACAATTCGCGATTCAAGCTAAGTGATACGCTCTCTGGAGAAAATTTGTAAAAGGTGTTTATACGTAGGACTTTTTTTCAGTGTTGCCAAGTGTAGCAGAATTTCGATACGTCATCGAATTTTTAGTCATTGAAGAAGTGAAAAGGTCTTTTCTTAAGTAGCAAAATTTGTATCTAGCAATATGTAATCATACTCTATACTTATTTAAGGATTTTTATAAAACCGACTTATTATATTGATTTTTTTTTTAAATTTCGGTTCATTTATCAATTTTGTTTTAAAATCAGTTCATCAGTTGTCAACATTAGTTTTCGTGTTCGCTGTTTATATTTTAATTTTTCTTACTTGTAAGCATTAAATTTGTTTATTTCTTTGCCATTTGCCATCTTTGCCATGAAATTTGCCAAACAGCCCCCAGCAAATTGCAATCTATATCATGATACACATACTAATGGTATGCTGACTTTCGATTCAAAATTCGTCTAAACCGCGCATGACGTAATGCGGGACGAACTTTCAAGTTATTTTGACACTTTTTGAATGAATAGTGTAAAATAATTTAATAATTTATTTGGTTTTGTGTTAGTAGTGACCTAAGGTAGTGACTATATTTTCCTATATATAACAGGGAAGAACTAAATTATTGTTTAAAATGCCGATCTGCGCGGTGGAGATATTTCCGAATGCCACAAAATATAGGTAAATTCTTATCGAAGAAAGGACAAACTTAATTAAAGTTGCCTTATCCACTTTCAGGAAAGTAGTTGTGAGAAAAGAAAACTAAATTTCACCAGCTGCACCGGCCTCATTAAGCAAAGAAAATAAATCGGTATTTTAAAATTTTAGCAGATAAAACAGTAGTTTCCTGTCCCAATACAACGGTTCTTTTGAAATAATGCCATACATGAGCAGGACACGAACACATAATAATAAGATAAATGAACAGAAAAATTGGTTTTGAGTATTTTCGAAGTAAATTTGATAAAAAATGTTTAAATTTACCAAATAAAAAGTAATTTTTTTTTGTGTATTTACTTTTTATAAATAAATAAGTTGTTTCTGCACACTTATTTTTATTCCACATAATAAAAAAAGAGATTGCAAGAGAACTACCACGCCCAGAAAGTACAAATTTGTATTTTTAGTCTATATTTTTTACTTATCTTGTGTCCAGGTTATGGATTTTGTCACAAAATACCTATAATTTATGAGAAAAATTAATATTTTTATCACTATTATTTACCTTAAACCTTCATATTTGTAAACGAATATATTACAAAATAACCAATAAAGCTTAAGTAACTGCATAAAGTCTAAAATTGGCAAAATATCGAATTTTAAACACTACCTCCCATTTAATGCTTATATTTATATATTCCACGTGACGTCATCGTCAGTCAGCTGCATGCGCAGGGACATATCGTTAGTCTGTGTATCGTGATCTATATGGTATTAATGTCAAAATAAAAACTGAAGTATTCCTTATTTTCCAAGCGTAAGTTCTAAAATTTAGTTTCTTACGATAAATGGATATCTACAAATTCACATTATTGAGGTTCTGTAAAATTTTATGTCTACAATCAAACTGCGTTCTGCATTGTGACAGTTTTATTACCGTTTAAATGTATTCAAAGTACTGTGACCGGAGGATAAGTAATTTGTAACTATTTTTGTCAAACAAAATTGGAATCAGTAGGCTTGACTTTTGCATTCACTAAAATTGCGAAAAAGCAGGTTCAGATTTACAGCATCCAGGTGAAGGTGAAGATTTCCAACAAATTAGTCATAAACACACGAAGAATATTATATTTATCACGAAAGCACTAAAACTAAACTTAAATTAATATTAATCGAAACTAAAAAACACTATTATAATGATATTATCTAAAAACAGTTAAAAAATCACAAATACAAAATCCCGCCCAAAACAAACACAATGTCGTAAATAAACAAATATCCTACTTATAGGTGACAAATGACAAGCGTATGAAAATTAATTAATACTTAAACGGAACTGATTAAATTTCTAAGAAACAATCCTACAACGTTGCCACATATCAAAGTTTTGTTAATTTAAATACATGACTTTCTCAATTTTAACGACCTAGTAATAAAAAATTGACTAGGGGGTTCTTTTCTCGTCATATGTTTTCAATATTTTTCATTATTTATATAGTGTTTCTCAAAAGTTGTATACAATTGTCAAAAAGTTTTATCTACATTTCACTAAAAAAATTATTCATGATAAAAATTCTGCATCATTTGTAAATCCATAATCAAGCATGAAATTGTGAAATTTAATAATTTACCCTTTAGAATTGATTTTGAATTAATTATTGAATAAAGCAAGTTGAAATTACTTAAAAACAAGTTCAATGATTTAAACTTAAGTATACAGGATGTTAGGATATTCCATCGATAACGCTCTACCCGAGAGTGTTCTCGTTATTTGATGAATTTTATTTACGAACATGAACCCTTACAGGGTTTAGATACCGAGATACGAGGTGTAACATTTCAAAATTTGCTAAAAATCAAACCGCTTTTAAATATGTTTTAGGACCAATTCCACCGTTGTTTTAAACGAAGTTTAAAATGACATTTTTACATTAACAATGTCATTTTAATCTCCGTTTAACACAACGCTGGAATCGGCCCTTAATCTACTAAGATCTTATCAACTATTAAAAATTTGACACGTGAACTAGAATTTAGAAATACTGAGTAGTTATTGAGTAATTATCTAAGTACTTGCAGAGTTTTGTTTGGAAACAAATTTCTAAAACATCGTAAATTTTAACTCCATAAAAGCTAAATACTTTTTTAAATAAAAACGAACAGGTAATTTAAAGAAAAGAAGAAATATTTTTCCCAGTGACAGAAAAACTTTTAACACCCTGTATCTCGGTAACTATGCTCTATATCTATATCAAAATTTATCATTTAACGAGATGACACCTTGTATATTTTAATTTCTATTAATAAATTGCTTTTTATTGAAATATAAAAGTATTTTTCCCTTCATTATAAATTATTAATATTATTTTCCCTGGATACAACCAATATTTTACAAGATATTGTTATGTGAGCCATTTCATTATTCAGTCATGCTCTAACCCTACAAGTCCCTCTCTGTCTTATTTGGCCTTTGAGGCTCAACTTGTCCGATTATTATACATAATTAAACCCCTTAAGACCAAACCTATGGGACGACTATGGTGGAGACACTTTCGCGAACATTCCAGGGTCAACGAGATACTATTTCTAGAACGTGATAACGTTTCTGGTACATACTGGCAATTTTGGTGGGGGAGCATTCTAGACCACCAATTTGTATATAAATTGGTGGAGGAGAGCCATCAGAATCAGTTAGTATATGGACAGTGAAGATAAATAGTAATTAGTAGATAGACAGTGGTGAATATAAATAGTGATCAGTTTAAAGACATTCGAAGTATATATAAATTAAAATAATAGTGTTATAAATAAATAAGTGTTTAAATAAATTATTTACAAATAAAATGTTGTTTGAAAATAAACAAACATCACAATATGATCCTTGATTATGGATTTACAAATGACTCAGAATGTTTTATCAAAAAGATTTTCTTTTGTGAATTGTAAGATACATTTTTTCCCATTTTGATACACATTTGTGGGCACCCTGTATTTATCTTCTCATAGGAGAATTCCCCATACAAAGATATCATAATTTCGTATTTCTAAATAGAGGTCATCTTGTTAAGGAATTTAATAAACTGTTAAAAGCTTGCCCCATTAATTTTTATCCACATCTTGTATATTTTTAAAGAATCTGTCTAAAAGTGGAACAAGATTTCGTAAAACTTTACCAACCATGTGCACAAAAATGTTTAATTAACAATTTTTTTGCTGGTTTACAAATAGCTCACAGGTTGTGTTAAAATAAAAACAGTGGTAGAATAATTACAAACGAAACTTTAAAATCTCACGTTTTTTAATCTGTTTCTCCGTCCCGAGAAGAAATTGCTCATAAAAGAGGGAAGCAAAGCTGTAATTTGGCCGAAATACGACTTGGTTGAATAATAAAGTTAAGTGAATATTAAGGTTTATTAAGATTCTTTCCCGTGATAATGCTTTTTTGATTGTCGGATATTAACGATGAAAATTCAATTTTCTTATACAACTAAATTTGAGACGAGAAGACGAAAATACATTATACGGACGCAAATGATTTACAATCAGGTTCGTTTTGGGTTTATCAGTAAAAAAATAATTTCCGTCCTTATATTCAAAGTTAATTTACTTCGTTACTTCTGCATTATTTTTAACAACCTCAATTTTGCTTTTAAGAGCTGGTATCCATTTACACATTATATTAAAAGTATCGAAAACAAGTAATTTTAAAGATTGTATCATTATTTATTGGCAATATTTTTGTGCACGCAGGTGGTTGTTCTTTTAATAGTAATAAAAGTCAGTTAAGGCCGCCATTTCACCATATTTTACTTGTCGAATGAGATGGTTACTACATACTTCATATTGAAATCAGAGGTCTTGATGTATTGTAGCTAAACTTTTGCAGCACATAGTAAAATAAAATTAACAAATCAATTGATCTTTTTGCATTTGTGCTGCTTATTATTATTATTATTATTATTATTATTATTAAATACTATAAAAAAAATAATATAAAAAAGTGATTTTCATAGATACAGTTCAAAAAACTCCAAGTCATTTCAATATTATATTTAAATTAATGTAAGTCTTGCATTATACTCAGTAAAATATGAATATAATAATATCATATTTTTACTAAATCTGCGAAAGAAAAAAATGAACTAAAATTCAAATTTTTTAGGCGGTAATTCCTATTATAGATATCCTATTAGTAACTGACCTACAGCAAACATACAGGGTGTTTTTAAAATACATGTATATTGTCAATATTTCGCCATTTCACTTTAGATATCATGTTTTAATTCTGTATCGTTGGCGTCAAAAGTTGGACTATGTGAAAGAAGCAAAGTGGAAGATTTTTTTTTATTTTGAATATAAATTTTATATTTAGGCATTGATTTCTTTTAAATTATTGTACCCGTTTTAATATGTACACATAATTTTAAACACCCCGCATATTATCTAATTAGAAAATAGGTATAATAAACGTTACTCAGTATCCCCTCTATTAATAATACGACAGACCCCGTAATAACTTCCAAGGCCAGAATCATGATGGGACAACTGCGGAAGGCTTCGCGACCTTGACAGTCCGCTGGCGCTGGTGCTCCTTCTCGGTCGGCCATCGCTGGATAGTTCCTCATCGGTGGTGTTCTGCATTCCTGTGGACGGTTCTCCTCGACCTGGACCAAGGATAAGCACCAATACACCTGCTACTCTTCACGTTCATTCTTCACACGCATATATGGACTCGTGGCGGCAGATTATATATTTACTTTCAAATGCTTCGTTAGTATTTTGATCAGCTGTAATGGGGTCGGACGAATTTAGATTTCTTGGTTGGTAATGACTATTAGGAAAATCAAAGACATATTTAATTTTTTTATAGATTGAAACGGTCAAATAGCCAACATATTCGCCAGATTTAGCTCTGTGCGACTTTCAATCAGTGAGAATAATTTTATATTACTTATAGGTTAGGTGACCTTTTCACGAGTCCAAAACACTTCCAAATATCTTTAAAAACCTTAAAAATTGAATCCCTGCTCCGAACAAGGTTGTAACCATCAAAAAATAAACTTTACAGAAAATAATTTCAGAAAAACAAAGCTCTTAGTGTTACAACCTTTAATCCTAGAACCAACGTGCAGATTTTTGACTTACTTTCTTACGGTTGAATTTATTATTAAATTATGCTATGATGTGTATCCAAGGAATTCATGAAAGCGCGACGTTCAGACTGAGGTACTTAGGTAGCTATAGGTATTACAAATCGAGGGCGTCATATCAGAAGAGCATAAAGCCAGTATTGACGTATTTAAGATTTTCGGGCCTATGGGTTTATTTATTCAATCTTTTTGATATAGTAGAAGGACGTATGGTTTCATAAAAATTAACATCATATTCTAAGTTTACTTTCGCGTATGAACTAATTTTGCAAAATTATAATATCAGAAAGGCGTATGCTGAAAAAGTTACCTTTGGTTCATACGTCCCTCTGATATGACGCCCTCTAAATAGTACGTGTCTCTTAAAAACATTGAACGTTGAAGAGAAAAAAATGGAACAGCGAAAATGGTGGAGGAAGTGAATATTGTGAAAAACAACAAAAACTTGAAAATAAACCAAAAATCAGTCCTAAGAAAATAAGTCACGCGCATGCCTTCTCACGCACTACTTTAAAACGTAGGAGGGAAAAATGGCCCACCGAACTTGGTGGAGGGTATATATTTCTTGTAGGTGGGCACCTATCGTAGAATGAGCAAAACGAAAATGTTAAGAAAATAAGTTAAATTTTTAAGTGGCACGTACCGCTTGGAATGCGTATAGCTACCTAAGCGCCCCAGTCTGAACGACGCGCTTTCGTGAATTTGTTGGACTCGTAATTTAATAATAAATTCAGCCATAAGAAAATAAGTCACGAATCTGCACGATGGCTCTAGGACTACTTGTTCTGGTCGAGGCAACTTTTGAGCTAAAATGAATTTTAAGATGGATTGCAGTGAGGATCGTACTATATTGTTGCATGGTTCCGTGTTTAGCAGTTTCTGAAATATTGTACAACCTTGTTCGGGGCCGATATTCAATTGTTCATCCCCTATCCTTACTAGAGTATCTTATATCTTAACTTTAACTTTTCTTATTACCAACACAAAAACTTTTGAAATCTTTTCCAACCTCTTCAATTTAAAACAAAAATTCAGACTTCAAAGATTCTAATTTCGACAGTTAAAATGGTGAACGATAGACACAAGCAAGAAGATAGCATTGGTTGATAGGTCTTTGATTTTATTAAATATAGTTTAGTTTGGTGATTTACACAATTTTTAATAACAACTTTAAATATAACATGTTATAATTTATAAGATAGTGCCTTTTAGTTTAGTTTTTCTTACAAATAGTGACTTCTTTTTGTATATTCAATGGTCATGGATAAAATCGATATTTTTGTAATATATTAATTCAATTGCATTTATTTAGAAATGAGATCTGTATCATTTTGGAACTTTTTATACTTATAATAAAGTAAGAATAACAGTTATACAGGGTGTAACAAAAAGGTAGGTCATAAATTAAACCACATATTCTGGGCTCAAAAATAACTCGATTTAACATAACTTACCTTAATGCAAATGTGCACACAAAAAAAAAATACAGCCTGTGGAAAGCACAAAATGAAAATCGATTTCTTCCAATATTTCATGAACTGTTTAATATTTTGTAATGAAAATGACTACATGACATCTTTTTCATGTAAAACCACGTAATTTGTACAGCCCATAAAAATTGTAGAGGGGTCTTGAATCCCTAAAACACCCAAACTCTTCTATGCGTTACAATTAAATTAGTATTATGACACCAATCGTTTAATACATAATTTTTTTAGTTTTCTTGCCTCCTAGCTTTTTTTGAAAAGCCAGTTTTTATCGAGATGTGGCCTCTTTTTCATTATCCTTCAAAAAATTTGAGTAACAAAAAGTAAGTTATAACTGAGTATTCATGTTATTCGCAGGTATACAAAATATGTACAAATATGTAGTATTTATTATAATAAATTCGGCATTGTTTAAAAAGGAAAACAGATTTTTTTGGAAGATCATTGGCTTCTGACAAAATCGATTTGCAATTTCAATGATTCGATGCCTCAGTTGTTGTTCGTCAATTATTTCAATAAAATACACGTCCTCATTTAGAAAATCCTAGAAGCAAAAGTCAATAGGGTTAAGATCTGAACTTCTGGTTGGCCAAGAAATAGGGTCTCTTCCAATCCAACGTCTAGGGTACAGACCGAAAAGATATTCCCTAATGTGGTTATCGAAATGCGCTGGAGCTCCATCTTGTAAATACCACTATTTTGCCTTATTCCTAAATTTACCTCTTCCAAGTATTCTTCTATCATTTTATAAGGACTGCAAAGAAATTGCTCCATTTTAATTATTTGGAAGAAATACTGGTTCTATTAAATTATTTTTCATAATGCCTGCCCAAATATTGACTTTAAAAGTCCTTTGGTGATGAGTTACTTTTTTTGCGTGAGAATTTTCTTCGGCTCATTTGTGTTCGTTATGGTAATTCGTAATGCCATCAGTAAACAAAATATGTTTAATGAAACTGATATTGCGATTGTTTTTCGTTAAGAACCAGTCACAAGTCGCAAAATCTCATTCTTTTAGGACAATCTTCATCTAGTAATTCTTGAACGGTTGTTAAGTGATTAAGTGATAGGGATGAAGCTGCTGTTCCTTCAATCTTCTCCAAAAGATCGTGTGACCAACATCTAATTGAGCAGCTATTACACTTATACTGCTTCCAGGGTTTTTTGTTCGACCACTATTACAAGCAAGTTGCGGTCGCAAAGTACCCGTCTTCCGTAAACGACGATCAATGGAAAGAAATAATTGTCTGTCTGGTGTATTCGGATTGGGATATTTTTCCGCATAACGCTTTGCAACTGCTGCACTATTCCCTAGGCAGAAGTACAGATAATTATCTTAAACCTTGTTTTAGCTTGACCAAACTTACCCAAAATTAAATGAATATCTGCCATTTCTGCAAACGTGTAAAGCATTGTAACAGAAAGTTTACTTTTTCTTAAAAATCTTAAAATGCACAATAACCGAAAGCTTCAATTGACAGTATGTAATTGTTAAAGCAACTGTTTGTTATTTATCCGTAGAAACTACAAGTGTTGGACAGACAACTTCAAAAGTGTTAAAAGATAATGAAGAAGAGACCGCATCTTGATAAAAACTGGCTTTTCAAAAAAGTGTTGAGAGGCAAAAAATGATGTATTAAATCAGGGGTGTCACAATACTAATTTAATTGTAACGCATAGAAAAGTTTGGGTGTTTTAGAGGTTCAAAACCCCCCTAAAATTTTTATGGGCTGTACAGATTTTGTAGTTTTATGTTAAAAAGATACTTTTACGATAAGAAAGCCATGTATCAATTTTCATTACAAAATGTTAAACAGTTTATGAAATATTGGAAAAAATTATTACTTTTACTACTCTGCTATATCCAAGCTCCTCAATTAAAACGAGCAACTGTACTTAACAAGTAATACCATGAAAAAAACTATTATGAAAACCACACACTTTTCAAATACATTTTTGTGGTTTGTGCAAACAAACAACAGACAATTAATGAGGGCATTTTGAACTCGCATATGAGTCACCTATCACCCTGTATAAAGATTTTAAAATCATCCCACAAAATGAGTATTTTCTATAGTAAAATATGTAGGTAGTTGTCTTTGATTTTCAAATTATTAATATTGACCGATATGCCATATGTATATACCTACATTTATTTATAAAAAGATTATGTAATTTTTCCTGTAGGTATGTATCTACCATAGCAATTCAGATTGGTACGAGATCACTAATTAGCATTGGAAGTTAAAAATCGTTATTTGGAATACAAAGTTAACCTACTAACAGTACTAGTAAATGGTACTAGGGCGTATAGGTACATAAATTACTATGAGCAGGTCCTCTGACAATTCATTAGTTAGCAGATCTATATCTGGATATATAAAGCGTAGCCACCTTATAAAATATCGTAGTTTTTTTATTACATTACTACTAATAGCTTCTGTATACATGATGTAAAATATAAAAGATTTTCTCCAGTTAAGTATTATTAATGTTATTGAAAACTATTTAAAATAGGAAATATTTTTCATTGACGTGGTATAATTTTGTTTTATAATGGAATATAACAGTCAAATTTTTTTATTACTCCATTTTAAACTTTACCACTTCTAAAGTACTTTAGCAAAATTTTGGGGTTCAAATATCATTGGAGGCTGAAGAAATAATTGTTAAAGTTGAAAATTTTATGTCCCCTATGTCCGGTGACGTGACCAATAAATTCAAAAAATTTAAATTTTATTGCCAAATGTCTACTTTTATTTTCCTATTAGTCCCATCTCTATGTGTATTGTAGGAAGAGTGAAATAGAAAAATAATTAGGTGTCTGTTCTTTTTTTAACAATTCTGGACAATGCATTAAGAGGTGTTGCAAAAAAATAAAAAGGATAGCGTCGATTAAAATTTACTGATAGTATATTTTAAATAAATAATAATACCTATAATAAAAATTCCAAGTTTGTTTTACTACGACAGGCAGTAAAATTGGTTACAAGGCTAAACCACAGTTTATAGCTAAAGAATCAGTTAGCTCACTCGGACCAATTGAATGTTCCAAAATAACATCCACTCCAGGGATACTAATTCAGGATGCGCAGAAGACTGGTTTTTGAATATAGGCGGTTCTGATATTGGTTATAGTAAGAGA